CCTTCCTCACAAGGCAGCCCAGGTCCTGCTGCAGCACGCCCAGCCGCATGAGCAGCACGTTCATCAGCTTGGCATCGCTGGGGCTCTCGCCACTGCTACCCACCGCCTCGCCCAGCAGCCCCCCCGTGCACTCGTTGTCCAAGCACGCCTTCAGCCCGGACGTGAAACCGTTGGCATCCGAAATCAAGATGTCGATCGCTTTGCTGACCAGCGCCGCCTGGTCCCGGATGCCTAGCAAGGTCTCCAGGTCCTTGGGCTTGAGCATCTTGGTGGGACCATCGGGCACCTTCCCACCACTGGGCACCCTGTCTGGCCCGTCAGCTTCACTGCCGCCCATCCCATCCCTCCAGCCAGCGGTGGGGCTGCACTGCGCCGAGCCGCCGGCCTCAGCGTCAGTCTCCAGCATAGGGCGGGTGGTCTGGCAGGAGGCCAGGTCGCAGCGCTGGAGGTTGGAGAGCAGCACGCGGTTCTCGTACTGCAGCTTCTTTACCTTGCCGCTCAGCTCGCTGATCTGCACCTTGGCCGTGGCCAACTCCTCCTGCGAGGGCTCGCTGACCACTGAGCAGCTGTCCTCCGACAGTGTCACGTCCAGCTCGTGGTCCGACTTGTATTTGCTCAGCTCGTTCAGGAGGAGCTTGTTCTGGTCCTCCAGCTCCAGCAGCGAGCGTCTCAGCAGCTCGGCCTCCTCCTCCACAAACTGCAGGTGCCGGCGCAGCTCTGCCACCGTGTCCCCCGCGTCCCCGCAGCCTGAGACACCCGCCAGGAACCGCATGTCCTGCCCCGGCAGCTCTCTGTCCCCCTGGCCCTTCATGTCGTCCATCTCCGCCCGCAGCCCGCGGTTTTCCACCTCCAGCTCCACTATCCTCCGGCTGAGGATGTTGGCTTCCTCCTCCACCAGCTTCAGGTGGACCTTCAGCTCGGCCTCCCGGGAATGGGGGGAGTCGGCCAGCTCCTCCACCGAGAGGGAGCTGTCGAGGTCCCCGTAGAGGGACCGGTACTTCAGCAGCTCCTCCTTCATGCCGTCATTCTCCTTGGCCAGCTTGGTTAGCTTCTTGCACATCAGCGCCGACTCCTCCTTGGCAAAATGCAGCTGGCACTT